TATCCAGAATCTACAACAAAAACAAATCAGCAGGAAAAAAAAACAATCCCATCAAAAAGTGGGCTAAGGACACGAACTGACAATTCTCAAAAAGAGATATACAAATGGCCAACAAACATATGAAAAAAATCACTAAATGATGAGGGAAATGCAAATCAAATGCCACATCACTAATAATCAGAGAAATGCAAATCAAAATCACAGTGTGATACCTTACTCCTATAATAATGGCCACAATCAAAGAATCAAACAACAGTAGATGTGGTGTGGATGCGGCGATCAGGCAACACTTCTACACTGCTGGGGAATGTAAACTACCACAGCCACTATGGAAAACAGTGTGGAGATTCCTTAAAGAACTAAAAGTAGAACTACCATTTGATCTAGCAATCCCACTCCTGGGGATATACCCAGAGGACAAGAAGTCATTATTTGAAAAAGATACTTGCACATGCATGCTTACAGCAGCACAATTCACAATAGCAAAATCGTGGAACCAACTCAAATGCTCATCAATCAATGAGAGGATACAGAAACTCTGGTATATATATATATATGTACAATGTTATACTACTCAGTCATAAGAAGGAATGAATTAACAGCATTCACAGCAACCTGGATGAGACTAGAGACTATTATTCTAAGAGAAGGAACTCAGGAATGGAAAACCAAACATTTTATGTTCTCACTGATACATGGGAGCTAAGCTATGAGGACGCAAAGGCGTAAGAATGATACAATGGACTTTGGGGACTTGGGGGAAGAGTGGGAGGTGGACAAGGGATAAAATACAACAAATAAGGTGCAATATATACTGCTCGGGTCATGGGTGCACCAGGTTCTCACAAATCACCACTCAAGAACTTACTCAAGTAACCAAACACCACCTGGACCTCAATAACTTATGGAAAAACAAAATTTAAAAAAGAAAAAAGAAATGTCAGGTATAACTATAATTGGTGTATGGTTTACACAGAATAAAAACAAAGTTATTAATAGCTGCAGTGGTAGGGACTGGGATGGAATGATGTCATTTTAATCTTTCCTGGTCCTTCCATAGGAACGGAAAATGGCTCTTTTCCTTCGGGGTAAGAACAGGGTTTCTGAGATGACCTGACAACTTCATGAGCAGAAAAAGGGAACAAGCCCCTTCCATGCACCTAGTAACATGCTGGGTGCTTCATAAATATAATCTCACTTAATCTTCACAAAGCCTTATGAGTGGGGAAGTATTCACCTCAGTTTCATATGAGGAAAGAGGCTTACTGTGGCACAAGATTCCCAAGGTCACCAGTGGGGCACAGGAGATGTGTGGTCCAGGCCTGGGATGCTCCCAAGGCACTAGACTGACTCCAAAGCAGCCAGACATAGCACAGGGACCTCAGCAGTGACAGCATTCTGCCTGGGCCCTGCATCTTTCCTGTAAAATGAGCTTTGTCTGCCTACCCTAGGACAGAATTAATTCTTTGTTTCCCTAGTGTTTAGAGGTCATAGCCTTTTAGTACTTTTCTTTGGTTAGATAATGAATTATTGAGAAGGTAAAAGCTGGACCCCGTAACTACCAGACAGCTACCACTTACTGGCTGTTTATTATGTGCTGGTACCTTATATGGTATTTCATTTCATCTTCATAAGCTTAATATCCTCATTCTGTTGATGACAAAACCAAGCACAGAGAGGTGAAACAGTTGGCCCAAGGTCACAAATCCCACAAGTGAGAGAGCTCAGATTCAATCCCAGGACTATCTGCCCCCAGAATCAGGGATCCATGAAGCTGTACTGTTCAGACCACAAAAATGGGGTTACTGAAGGACTGGAATGACAGCATGAAAATAAAGGCATGAGAAAGGAACAGGTTTCACCACTACAGAAAACCTATGATGTAACAGCCACAGTAAAATAAACCTTTTGTGCCCTTGTACAAAGTTTAGAAGTTGTGCAAAGGGCCTTCTAGCTCTGTAAGAATTCAATTCACTGATTGTAAGCACGTTTCATAACGAAACGTAGGGAATGAGAAATGCATAGGGTATGGCAGGAACTCTGAGAAACCAAGTCCAGACTCTGACCGTAAGTGCACTAGGTAACGAAACTGAATGAAGCAGACATGAAATGAGCCAGAAAAACTCCTGTGATCCTTGGATTAAGTCAGACATTATGAAGCCTATGCTTACCGGCTCAGCTTAAGGCACACGGTATAGGACAATGAGGAGCAAGTCCTTGAAACATCCTGGCATAGAACATGTTAATCCATAGTGCTCTATGACCACAAATCCCATGAAGACAAAGGATGGTGAGTATTTAAAGGTTAAAAGGAGAGCCACGAGATTAGAAAATAAGAGGTATGAGGAAAAACTGATAATAAGTGCAAAGAGGGAGGTATGACGAAATTTTTTTCTAAGGCATAAACACACCAAACCCAGTGACAAAGTGGAGTGTGAATAAATTTGGAAAATAACAGACTGAGACTTCTTTGATGTTACACAAAGAGGATTCTCATATGATGTTGCCCACTGGTAGGAAGACCCCAGGACAACTGCAACAAATCCTGAGTCTGAATATTTTAAGAACGTAAGAAAACATCCCTGAGACGCTGACAGCTATCAGAATGAATCTTTAAGCTGCAAGACAGATCTAATAAAGCAGATATAAAACCTTCCTCTACAAAACCAGAATCACCAACCTTTTTCAGACATTTATTCTAAGTATTTGAGGGTTTACTTGCTTACTGCTTGTTTACAAGTTCCATGAGAGCAAAGATGACGTCTGTTTTGTTATGACTGTAGTCCAAGAACCTAGCACGGCCCCTGAAGTATAATATTTGCTCAATAAATATTTATCCTTGAATGAAAGAACAATCTAATTCTGGACCCAGAGAAATGCTATTTTCTTGTTACCTCTATCACATGAATCTGGCACAGCATGCCTAAATTCAAGGACACCAAAAATATAAAGGCAAAGCTTCCTCCTCCTATCAGGTAGTGTTCCCTGTTTCCATCACATTCTCCTAAACATTTCCCAGTGTAAATCACGAATGGATATATACTCAGTTCCACTTACTATTCCTTATTTAGTAATTTATGGCACTGAGTTATGGTTAATAACGGCCTTCATTATGCTCTGTGAACAAATTTCTTAGGGATTCTAGTTTTGAAAATATTTGAAATAAAAATAGACTGGTTGGACATGATGGTTCGTATCTGTAATCTCAGCACTTTGGGATGCTGAGGCGGGCGGACACTTGAGGCCAGGAGTTCAACACCTGGCGAAACCCTGTCTCTAATTAGCTAGTCATGGCGCATGCCTGTGGTCCCAGCTACTTGGGAGGCTGAGGCATGAGAATCACTTGAGTCTGGGAGGTGGAGGTTGCCATGAAGTGAGATCATATCATTGCACTCCAGCCTGGGCGAAAGAGTGAGACTCTGTCTCAAAAAAAAAAAACAAAAAAAGAAAAATAAATGAAGAAAAAAAAAAAATTAAACAAGAGACACTGAGTACTGAGAGGTCAAACACCTTCCACAGAGTTTTAAGACTCTACAGGCCGGGCGCAGTGGTTCACGCCTGTAATCCCAGCACTTTGGGAGGCCAAGGTGGGCAGATCATGAGGTCAGGAGTTCGAGACCAGCCTGGCCAACATGATGAAACCCTGTCTCTACTAAAAATACTAAAATTAGCCAGGCGTGGTGGCGGATGCCTGTAATTCCAGCTACTCAGGAGGCTGAGTCAGAAGAATCACTTGAAACCGGAAGGTAGAGTTTGCAGCGAGACGAGATTGTGCCATTGCACTCCAGCCTAGGGAACAAGAGTGAAACTCTGTCTCAAAAAAAAAAAAAAACTCTACAAACAGATGTACTGTCTGAAGAGTGATTCTAGGTAAGCCTGCTGGTTAGAAAATTAAGCACATATTAACTATTCAAAACCAAACACAGATCACCACACTGTGGGATTAAACAATGACCTTTTATGACAGTCTGTCAGGTTTTCAGCAAGATTAACAGAATAATCTTTGATACTTACTTGTATCATATCTATAAATCTGGGGAGAGAGTTAAAACCTGAAAAGTTTTGACAAGGGGGTGAAAGAGTTCATGCCCATGGCCTAGCACTATCAAGTCATAGTAACAAGGTTAGGTCTGATGTCGGAACCTGATGTTCCATTGTAGCTGCAAACAGAATAAACTGTTCAGTGACAGCTGGACCAACTCTGTAAAACATCTGCACCTTGACTCTACATAAACAACAAGCAATTTACTCTCAAGAGGCAAAGTTTATTTAAGAAAGAATGATTTTTATTTATCAGCTCATCTGAATTGACTGCGAATGCCTGTATTTTCTGAAATACATATTTGAATTTGCTTTTGGGAAAAATCAAGTGACGAAATTAAATGACTTATTCTATACATACTAGCTTAATTTTGAAAAATGGACTCTTTCATAGGAAAGTTTACTGCTTTTAAGTTTTAAGGATCTTTTGCTGGAATACTGAGTACTTTACTGCCAAATTACTGAAATGCACTATAAGGCACTGAAAATTGCTATGAAATTTATACCCATATGAAATAAAAACATAAAACTGACAGATATAGACAACTTCCTATATATCAACTAGACAAAATGCCTACTGTCCTAAGACTAAAGCTTAAAGTTCACACTCCTTAACAAACGAAACAAGACTTATAAAACTAGTGAGGTGCAGTGGCTCATGCCTGCAATACCAGCACTTTGGGAGGCCAATGTGGAGGATCCCTTGAGGCCAGGAGTTCAAGGTTGCAATGAGCTATGATCACACCACTGCACTCCAGCCTGGGCAATACAGCAAGACCCCAACTCAAAAAATAAATAAATATATAAAAAAAACAAAAAAAATAAAACCAGTTAGTGAAAATTTCTTCATTCTTAACCTGCGTTTAATAAGCGGTATACATTTTAAATTATTTCATTTTATTTCTTTACTATAACACATTTTAATACAAGCATCAAAATTCTAGAATCATAGCACTTACCTGTATGGCTTATCAGAGTTATGGATTCGCCTGTGGTTTCTGACACCAACGTACGTTGTACTTGTATAATCACACACATCACATCTATACTGTTTCTGGACTGAAGATTTATTTCCTAGACAAGGTATTTCAGAGTTTTAGTGGCAGACTTTGACAAGATTCAAATGACAGCATTTACATTCCATTGTAAAAGAAAATTTATACCAGACAGTTGAATTAATATTTCAATCATGGCTTTCTCGCTGTTTTAACAAGTCTGAAGTGGTTTTACAGGTTTTCCTGCATATACACTATCAGCAGATATAAACTGAACATCTTATGATCTAGAAACACAGATAGGTTGAGATGATTTCTGCATAACCATATACAGTATTCTAAATCCTAACAAACTTGCTTCAGGCTGAATGTGCAGGAGCTAAATTAATCAGAGACACCCTGTTGATCTGTATTACTAAACAGGTGTTACTCTAATCAATATTGGATATACTGTCTTAAAGAAACACTGATTTGCAAACAAGCCATAATACTATAATCTAATATTATGAAGTATAGCTATGAAGCATATACAACAAACTCAATATAAAAAGCCTGGCTGGGTGTGGTGGCTCATGCCTGTAATCCTAGCACTCTGGGAGGCCGAGGTGGGAGGATCACTTGAAGCCAGGAGCTGAAGACCAGCCTGGGCAACAGAGCATGAAATCTCTCCCCACCCCATTCTATCCCCAAAAAAGCCTAAGGCCTTTTCACCCAGTGCATTTTCTTTGTTTACCACTAAATATCAGCTACCAGTGCAACATGAAAGGAAAAGCAGCTGCAAATTAAGTGCTATGCAATGCATAATTCTATCTAGTTAACTGACAGGTGACAGGGACAAAGGTTATGACCGACATGAATATGCAGCTCTCTGAAATGCAGGAAACATGGATCCAATGAAAAGAAGCCATGTTACTAAACTCACTCTGCAACAACAGGTCTGAGTAATTCAAGTTGGGGTAAGCTTATGTCAACACAAGTTGAGTGACTTGTTCATATAAAATGATTTCCTGAAGACAGTCAATGCTCCATGTACTTGTCTGTCAGCATGCAGTCCACAGGCTATTCACACTCTGACTGCTTTATATTAAGAAACAGAGAAAGCATGGAAGCTCAAGAAAAAGGCAGAGCAGGAAGAACTCTGTGTCTCTTGGCAGTAAGAAAGCTTAGGCAGAACACCTGTATACGCTGCATAAAAGTAAAATTTGTGGTGTTACACAAAAGAAAACCCACACTGAAATTTCAACAAAGAAAATCCTTAAGTTAAATTTACACTTCCTAAAATTGAAATTTTCTTTTGCTAATAACTACTGCCAGGCAGAACAAAATGTCCTAATTTCATGGTATAAATCTATAGCATTAATATATACACTAATCATAATTATAATCTAAGTATTGCTCTTAATTGGTAGGTTAAAATCTTGGACTTGATTATAAATGGCACTGTTCCAAATACAGTTTTTAAAAAAACCCTAAAAAATGAAGTGTGAAATATTGGATAATGGTTTTGTGTGAGAAATATTACAGATCAATGACAACTAATAAAACTGACAGATGGAAAAACTTAATATAGCACAGAATGAGAGCCTGTGCTACTTCAAGCAACTGTTTCCAATGGAAAGAATGTTGGATTTAAAGTTCAAAAATCTGGGCTTAGTCCTCGCTCTGCCACTTTCTACCAGTATGATCATGGGTAAATTATTTTGCCTCTTGAAGTCTCAGTTTTCTCATCTACAAACTGGAAATGCTAGAACCTCACAGCATATTAGGAAGTCCTATATTTTTCCTTTAGCAAAGTCTGTACTTTACCTGCACGTCTGGGTAAAATCTCTGCCCTGTCACAAAGCTGTCTATTCCCTGAGGATAAGAATCTGCCTGTTTTGTTTAGACTGAATCCCAGGGCTTGGCAAATTATAGGTTTCCAATAAAAAAACAATTTAATTAGGTTTCATGGAGTAACACCCTATGAAAGGGCTTTGCTTGCGGCTTTATTTGAGCTCCTGTGGTACTGGCTGACATACCCATCAGCCTCATTCTGTCTTCTTCACTGAGGTGGGTTCCTAAAGGGCATTGATGCCTTTCACTGTACTCTCAGCACCTAACACGGTATCTAGCTCAAGACAGGCAGGCCATGCCTTTTGGTAAAGGAAATGTCAAGCTAAAACACGCCGTAAGGTATCTGTGCTATCATAATGGCAGAGACTGGGGATCACAGAGGCACATATCTCTCTTCTTGTTTAATAAGTTTACTAAATGGTTAAAGAAGTTTTAACAAAGCATGAATTATTATTACTTTCTCTGTGAGCTAAAAATTTATTCTTTGGCCTGACAACCAAATTTCAAAATATCTAATACTGAATTAATAAAGTACCCAACCAGGTGTAAGTATGCAGCCATCTGAACTGCTATAGTACTGGGAAAAAAAGCAAACAGAGCCAGGTGGGAGAAAAGAGGCAGGGCAGGCAATTTAAAAATCTATACATTTCACCCTAAGAAAAAGGCATGAGCCACAAAGAAAAGATGCTGCAACATAAAATTAGTGAACATACACTCACACTGTAAAATCTGAAGTGGTTATTTTAATTTTGAGCTGACACTTTAATCTTTTTATTAAAATTATGAATTTTAATCTGTTAACTCATTTGGATAGTTTGAAATGCTTGCTTTTTAGGACAGTGCTAAAAAAGACATCTCCAACACTGATATTAACTGCAGGTGGTGCTACTGAGTAGTATTTACTTCATCCCTTCATTAGGGATTTATGGTCCAATCATATCAAACGTTTTAATGCCTCCTTTAAAGGGGATACGGAAACATAATGAATTAAAATAAAAGGAGGCATTTAGGGATATTTTGTAAAAAGGAAACAAAACTGTTTTAGCTCAGCCATCTACTGCAGAAACAGATGCTATGTCATAAACTCCTTTTGTTTTGGAGAGTTTTACAGGGATGACATCTGTTTGACATGAGAATTTTGGTGCTACAGTGGTGTCAAAATCAGTTCTTTCAGAAACATTCTAGAATCAGTTATGCTTTCTGGGGTATAATTTAATGAAACATTATGGTAAAACATTTCACTCTGTAGTCGTTTCTAACTTTAATTCTCAGCAAATCTAAAAAGGAAAGTCACCCCAATATGTTTTATCTCCCATAAACATTATGTGCCACACTGGAGACATTTAAAGTATATCAATTTAAGTGAGCTGAAGCAAAGCGGCACAGCTTAGTACACTTTATCCTTAATTCTCCGGATGTGGCATCCGCCTTTTCATGGAACTCTAATTAAATCTTTTAATTTTAATATTCCTATTACCAGAAACTCGGTCGACTGCTACCTAACTGGTACATAAAAAGATCTTGTGTATCTGTGTGTGTTTTTTTTTTTAAATAATGCAGATGAAATCTGGCAGTCATACTTGGGTAAGAATAAGATCACAGCGGGAAGCCCAGTTAAAGTTTGGGGTAGGGGCCCACCATCTGCAAAAGCTCTGTTCTCAGTAGGTCAACTGGTGCTGAGAGAGGGAGGGGAGGCCTGCTTCCATGCTGCAGCTTTTCTGCCTTGCTGGTACATCACCTTCAAAGGGGCCCTTAAGTTTCAACTGCAGTATCTACCTACACAGCTGAAGATGAATCCTTACTAATCTACGGCTTCTCACCTAGGACCTAGTAATCATCTGCTTCATTCAGTACTTGGCATTTCCTTAGAATCAGAGATCAGATTCACTCGCATCCATGGTACAAAAACAGGAGAATATAGGCTTTTGCCCTGAAAATAACCAATTGTGACAACTAAGGGCACTTTTACTTCATGTGCGAGTCACTGCAGCCTGCATAACAAAATACATAGATACCTTCCTGGACACATTTTCCATCGGCTGTATCACTGGAAATTCTTGGCTCATTAGAAGTTGCTATCGACAAGGTATCTGGAAGACTGTGCTGTTCTCTCTCATGATTCCTCAATTGACTCTGAAAAATGAAAAGAAATATGTAATTTTCAATAAATATACATGTCCAAATCTTAGGAGGCTGCAGAAAAATGGGTTCATTGCTTTCATAGCCTAGTACCTACAACATTACTGTATTTTAAATACACATGACCGTATTTTAAAATTAAGTCTGCTAAAAGATCATTTGACACATTTGACAATTTATAGAAAGAAGTAAATTAGCAAATCATAATCTCATGCAAAGGGCAGTTCCTCTCTTCATATTCTCCGAAAGAAGTCACTGCTTTCTGGTGATTATGCATGGTGTGTCCATGTTTACTGAACCACTGGCATGCCCAGGAGAGGAACGAGCAGAGTGTTCAGAATAATGCAACTTCAAAAAAAAAAATCTAATCAGTAAACACCGGACTCCTAATTTTTCACTTAAATATCAAAATGTGTAAAAGACCTAATTGGAAGTGCTCCTCCAATTAGAGACTGGATTGTCTCTTCTAATTCCATTCCCATGAATCAAGAGCTCAGTAGCAAAAGAAACTCCTGGAGACTTCTCGCCTTTGCAGCCTATGTGGATGTGCTATTTGGAATTTCATGAGTGTAATCTGAGAAGCAGTGAACCTCCGACTCCAGAGCTTTCTTATTCCTGATTACCTTTTCACCACAGCTAGACCCCAACTCTCATTAATCTAAGGGAAAAACTCTACATCCTAGTTAGCTCTTAGGGTAACATTTGTAAAACATTTTCAAGGATTCACCTGGCCCATTGAAGAAGAAAAGTTCTTAACCAATGACTCAATGAATCCAAGTTTCCTTTATAAAAGAATAGCATGTCATATAGGACATTGGTTTTGGTAAGGTCAGCAATTAAGATGAAAATCAGACAGTCAAAATAACTCTTGAAAGTCCTTTACCCTGCCCATAAAACACGACACGCATGGCTCTATTTCCACAACACAACCATAGGTCCAGTGTAGCCCATTTTTCCATCTGCAATGATATAAATCACTATTGGCTGTGTAGAAGCCGAAGCGAATGCCTGGCATTTTGGGGCCATGTAAGATGAAAAATATGATTTTTTTTTTTTGGCCGTGATGATGTACAGGTAAATTCATGTAAGTCAAATGTTTATATGATGTGACTCTACTGTACACTCCCTGGTAATTCTCATGCAACAGAAAATCAACACTTTAAATATACACACTAAAACACACAGGCTGTTAAGGAGACAGCAGGCAGAGAAAAGGGTTCCACACCAGAAATTTGGAAGACCGAGATTTCAGTCCCAACTTTAATACTGATTAAGTTGGGACCCCGTCAGACAAATTATCCAACTTTTCTGGGACCCAGTTTCCTTATCAATAAAATGAGGTGGTTGGACTAGATCTACAAAGTGCCCTTCTCACTCTAAGATGCTAAGGTCCTCTGAAAGACTTCCTGAACCAATGCTTACCTTATAATGGAAGGATTCTTCACACTGCTTGCACTGGTATATTCTTGTCTTACAGTGGTGGATCATGTGGCTCTCCAAATCTTTGCTGTTGTCAGCTATGTGCTCGCAGATAGGACACTGATAAGGCTGTCTCTGTCGATGGACTCGTAAGTGCTGCTTGATGTAGCCCTTGTTGCCACTTGTGTAGTGACACAGGCGGCAACGGTAGGGTCGTTCAGCATTCGGGATATATTCCACCACGTTGTTTCCGGACAAACTCGTATCGCTGTTGGGTTGGCACTGGGCGTTGTCCTGCAGCTCTTTTAAAATGTCGTCATCTGATGCGTTTTGGTCTGTCCTTTCTCTCAATTTTTCAATGACGGTGAGTAGGGACATGCTGATGCCTGTCTTAACCTGCCCGTCTGACAATTCCTGCCTACCCTCTGGGAGTGCCACCAAGGTGGAGTTGCTTTGGTTAAGACTAGTTAATCCATCTGAAGAGTTTTTAAGTGGTGACATCATTTTTGAATATGCTGCCAACGTACTATCTACTTGCCTTTGACTAGGATCTGGATCTAAAAGGTTTATATCCCCATAGTGCCCCAGGTTGGCTCTTGTCAACTCTGCAGCTCTTATAGGCATTGTGACGAGGGCTTCTGCAGCTAATGAATGCAGTCGAAGAGACTCAGAATTTGTCCTTCTCCGGCCCGGTGGGGCATTCTCATCAGTAGCCAGGCCTTTATTCATTAACTCATCTTTCTTCTCTGAACTGCTCCAGCCTATGATCAACCCCCCAATATCAACAGTACATTTATCAGCACGATAAACATCGTCCATTCCTTCATGCCTAATCTGGGTTTCTGTTGGGCTTAGGTCCTTTCCCTCTTCCATTTCAGTGTTCATGAGAAAGCGCTTCTGTGAAAGGGTTTCTTCAGCACTCGGCAATCGCTCCACTATCACGTTAACATGACCTTTTTTATGAGGGCTGCTGCTGATGATTTTTTGTGCCGATGAAAGGAGGCTATCAGCAATCAAATTCTCCTCTGCATCAGAAATCACTTCCAGCATTTCTTCCTCACTGGGGTCCAGGGTAACTGACTGACTTAGGTGTACTCCCCTTTCTGCACTCTGTTCTAAAGGAGATGAAGATGACAACTGTTCTGAGCTGCAAATCTGCACTTGCACTGATGGCCCATTGTGGATACTCAGTTCGCTGTCTCCAATAGCAATGACCACTGCATCGACCCCACCAGGCGCAGAGGCTGCTGAAGAATCCAGCAGGCCTAGGGGCTCATTTTCATTTTCAAAGATTGGATAGGAGCAATCAACCTCCCCAGCATGTTTCCAAGCGTGTGTTTTCAACATTCTCTGCTGGCCACAAGTATAACTACAAAACAAGCATCGATACATGCCGTACTGTTCGTATGCATACCATTTCCTCCTACCCATTTCTGCCACAGATGCAGTTTGGACAGTCTGAGTCTGCAGATTGTCCACACTTACGGGGACGTCTGGAATGGCTTCGTTACTTCTTTCTGTGGTTTTCTGACATAAAGAGTTGGAGGGGCTTACGCACTGTTGGGCTTTGGATTGGGTGTGGCTATTGGCATCATTTTCATGGTCATTCACCACGTGAGCTTCAAGTTCCTCCTGGCTTCTAGATGTAATATGGCACTCCGAGCACATTAGTATCACTTCGTTCTGCTGACCATGCTGCTTAATATGATCTTTTAACACGGAAAAGGATGATGACAGAAACTTACAAAGGCTACACTGATAAGACATGGCCTTCCCTTCATTCTGGGCAAGAGTGTCAGGGGTAAAATTTGTTTGTGACATCTCAGTTCTTCTAGTATCAGCAGCAGGTGACTGGGTTACTTTAGCTGGAATCTCACAAAGCTCCTGGGTTTCAAGAGAGTGTGTTGCAGCACTTGAACGTGTGCGTTTCTTTCCAATTAAAAGACATTTTTGTGACTTTTCATGTTCCACTATCTTGCTTAACTTCTGGATAACATGGATTAATGGATCTGGTTTAGTTTTTCTTTGTTCATCAATTTCCAGTGAAGGACTGATGATACTTTCAGCAGTCAATATAGCTTCCTGTTCCCCAATATCTGGCACCAACATGGCAACACTGCTACTTTCTTCCATATCTAAAAAGGATAATGTAAAACAGAAAAATACCAGGTTACAGGATAGTTATAGGCATGTAAGTTAGGAAATATAAGCAAATCTTAGTGTCTAAGTATTTTCTAAGCTGGAAGCTCCACATCTGCACACCTGGCTATCCCTAGTATAGATTTAAATTGGCTAGAATTTCTCTTTAGAATGCAATCTTCTATCAAGACTAATGATGAAGATACTCCCCTCCATCACTTTTTTCTTTGGAAATGATGATCTTTTTCTTCATTTTTCTGCACTTTCTTTGCCCTCAGCATCCAGCAAGACCAGAAGTATTCCCTCCCTTTTTCACAATGTCAAGAAAGAAAGAAAAAGAAAGAAAGAAAGAAAGAAAGGAAGGAAGGAAGGAAGGAAGGAAGGAAGGAAGAAAGAAAGGAAGGAAGGAAAAGGAGGGAGAAAGAAAGAAAGAAAGAAAGAAAGAAAGAAAAGGAAGGAAGGAAGGAGAAAGAAAGAAAGAAAGAAAGAAAGAAAAGAAAGAAAGAAAGAAAGAAAAGGAAGGAAGGAAGGAAGGAGAAAGAAAGAAAAAGAAAGAAAGAGAGGCCCCTATTCCTTGATTAAAGGAGCACGGCCATTCTCAAGACATGTGAAACCCTCTCCAGTTACTGTGAAATACCACTCTGTAAAGCCAGTGACTGATTTTTTGGTATATTTCTTATACCAAATACAGCTGCAGTTTTATTGCTAAAATGACAAATTTGTTTTTTTCTCCCCAAACCTCTGGAACTGTGAAACTACAGTCATGTAGTATGGACAGGGCCTAGTAAATTGGGAAAGTACTATATATACGAAACTAAATAAAAGCAATGATCTAGTTCCTACTTTTACTTCCTGAAGATAAACCACAAATTGTGCTGTGGTTTTTTTATAGAGGTCATATTAGTGGTCAACTATTACTCATATCCACATATATATATATATATATTTTTTTTTTTTTTTCCCGAAAGGGTAAGGGACATCAGAGAAGGAAAAAATTGATATCCCAGTTGTTTTAGGTCCAGATTATGACGGAGTCCTTAGAAGGGGTTATCTGCTGTAATAATGCATTATGGCTAAGGAAGTCACTAAACATAAAATACCCACAAATCTTTCTGCCTAAGTCTAGAATACTCTTTATATTTCCTGGCAGTACTTTCATTTCAAACATTTCCTTTGGCTTAAAGTGAGATTAATTTGTTGACTTGGATCACATTTTTAAGTTTAGGCTTTTTTCCAGCAACAAGTTTTGTTTTTCCACATTTTAGGTGCATTCTGGAATCTTACTCACAACATTCAATAAATGCCAACAAAATTTTTAGTGGCACTAGCTATAGACCAAAGACCACACTATTCTTAAACTTCAGTCCCAGGCTCTGAATTCTTATTTTAGGTGGTGAATCATGGCTGTTCTTCCCTGCACGGTTGAATCAGTTCAGCCCCTGCCAAGATGATACCTAATGTCCTGCCAGGCCCCGCCTTCCCCTCTCCCCCACACAGTGCTCTGACCAGCCTCAGCGCCAGGTCGCCCACAACTCTGGGCAGCAGCTTTGGCTTTTCTTCCTCATTTTCTACTCCTTCTGGCAAGCCAGCTTTCTAGATCTAGGTCCACATGAGGCAAAAACGCAAACACTTTACTCTTGGCTTCTTCAGTACTACGTCTTCCCTTCTTCCTACTACTCTGCCCTATGGGATCAGCTTTTCTCTTTGCCACTGTCTCTAACTGCCCTCACAGCAGAATAGGCATTCCATGGCCATTCCAACATGACACCTACCCTGGCTCCCAAAGGCCCGTGGTCCTTCAGCCCTCTCCCTTAAACAATCTCTCAAAAGACTAGTTCTGTTTTATCTTTCTCAGGTAGAAGGAACGAAAGTTTTTTAGCTTTCTATACACAGCTGTAAATCGTTAAAGAAAAGACCAGTGGGGGAACTATCTGTTTCCTTAGAAAAACCCTTTTGTGACTTCCTAAGTCGCTTTATTGTCTTAGAATTCTGCATTTTTAGGCCAAGGGGAGCTGTGGCTCTTCATGTGACTACTGATTTCCCTTTAAGGTGATTAACTTAAGGCTTTATTTCTTTCAGTTCAATGGTTAAATGCAAATTGGTTAAATAGTAAGTTTAATAATAGGAATCCTCAAACATTCAATTTTCTGGACACGATATGGCTCTCTACTGTAGATCTAAGGTCTCTTTCCCCATGAAATGTAACACTCATGTAGGCTGACTAATCATCTGGAGGTTAACAAGCGACTGTTTGTTCAAGAGACTCTGCACACACAGAGGGTTACAAAGGTGACTCATGTTATCTTTCTTCTACTTAATGATATAAGAGAAGTGACAGAGACCAGTGCAAATTGCTCCCTGTGGATATTTCAGTGTGTACCTTAAAAAGAGAGTGAAATGAAGAGAAGGAGGAGTTCATCTTAACTCAAGAAAAAGACTAATACAAAAGAATCTGACAAAACATTCAGATTTTTAAAGCAGTGTCTGCTCAGGCATTAAGAGCTAATGGAAATTTGCAGCAGATGCTCCAATTTTCCCTGAACATTTATGTAAGTATCTCATTTTAAAGGCTGCATACATTTGGGGACAAATACAATAATGGCAGCTATAAAACAGATATGGCAACATAAAATACATCAAGAAACACCTGAAAAACCAGTTTGGGTCCACATGCAAAATCAATGCACAGGTTAATCTAATAAAAACGAGTCTCTGTTAAAAAAAAAAAAAAGCTAGATAAATAGCTGATAATAAAGTACACACAGAGGGGAAGTTACTGTAAGGCCAGCTCTTCAAATTTTCACAAAAATTTTACTTAGACCACTAATGCAAAAATACATATATCCATATATGTCATGTGAAGTGCATGTCAAGTGAAGTAAATCTGAACAAGAGATGAAATAAGGAGTATACCTACAACGTCAGTGGCTCAATAATGACAACATAAATGAGGACAAGCTGCAAACTCTCCCTGGCCTCCAAGAGATCAACATGAACACAGCTTTAAAACAACTACCATGGTGATAGTGCAGTGGTGGGGTGGACAGAATGAGAATAAAGTAACAATGACTAATTATGTGATTGAAGTTGAATGACAAGTACCTAGGAATTCATTGTTCTTTCTACTTATGTACATGCACAGAAATTTTACTTAGACCACTAATGCAGAAATACAAATATGTGTGTGTGTGTGTGTGTGTATGTGTAAAAATTGTTACGTACGAAGCGCAAGGCAAAGTATCAAGACAAACAGAAAAATTTTAAATTCTTAATACTTGTAGTTTAAAACTGAGTTGAGTGGATAGGGCAAACATTAGGAAGTTAATAAGTAAAAGCTTTTAACAATGCAATGGTACGCAAGGTAAAAGAAAAGGCAACAGTCAATGACCAAATCCTGAGACTGAAGAGCTCCTTTGGGCTAGCAAGGTAAGCAAAAGCTTCACGGAGAGGTAAGATGTCCACTGGTTCCCAAAGGATGGGCAGCAGGTCAGACATCATCTGTTTCCTCTCTAGGCTCACTGTATCCTCCTCTCCATTCTGTTTTGTCTCAGGAGGGATTACATCACTAGGCTCCCCTGCCCTGTGGTTTCTGGTTGAGGTCAGCTAATGAAGACAGATCAGAGGGAGGTAGCAGAGTGAGATCAGAATATTCATTGTCCTGGTTCACAATCTCTAGGTCACCTTGGATTGGCTGTGTTTCTCAACAGGAGGTTATTTCTCTCCAGGCAGGTTGCTCTTCAAGAGCCTTCTTCTGATTCTGATACCTCTCCCTCTCCTGATGCAGCCAGCTCCAGATAACTGCATTCTGCTGTGGTTTGCTTATTTAAGTCCAATACCTTTATTATTAATATCTTTGTAAATATGCCTTCCTTGAATTATCCTCATTTCAACGTGCCATTTGCTTCCTTGGAATACTGCTGATACAAGTTGCCACAAGGGTAGCAGTGACAAGAAAAGCAGCCATGACATTACTATATTTTTAGAAGTGAGAATAAGCATGCTATCTAGGGGTGAGTGAAAAGATCAATATGGCTGAATAGGAAAGTTCACTAGGAGGAAAGAAGACTTCAGGCATTAGCAAAACAGGAGATTCCTTGTTTGGAATGCTTAGACGTAACAATGTTAGATTGAATATATTAAACTGTTACAAATAAGTAAACAAAAGTTGTATCCCAAACCAGAAAAGTTCCATAACCCTTTCCACCAAGTCTCTCAAATCTTTCCTTGACGACAGTGTTCCACAGGCAAACGCTTCCAATTAATATCTTTCTCACGAAAAGTTAAGAGCCAAATTATTTCGGTTGTCTTTATTTCCTTATAATTTGCTCTTTGGTTTATCTGGGTATCTAATTAGTTCCTTACAGTTACAGCAGTATGGTTATCATGAGTAAAATCAAGTTGAACAATTCATGTGGGCCTGGGGAAAAGGCTATAATTTTCTGTGTATGTACAAAGACAGTACAATACGATACAAAAGAACCTTCTCTTTCAGAATAAGAATTTGTTTTTTTCCAAAATTTTGTGCTATACCAAAACTGAAAAAAAAAAAAAAAAAAAATGTGCTATAGAAGTAATGGCCACTAAATTCCCCATTCTTCCAGATTATCGTGATTCTAAAATATGACGCATTTATTTTGCTCCAGCCAAAGGAAGGCAGGTGATGTAAGCTCAAGGGTCCCTCCCCTAAAGTACCCTCAATTAGCTGTGTGACCTTAGGCAAGTCACTGTCTCTGAGTTTTAGATTGTCAGATGTAAAACAAGATGGTGAAGCTAGATGAACTTTCAGGTCCCTGAATTATCAACTGTTTATAAAGTTATCTGGAAGCTGCTTACACATTATTTATAGATTTACCTCACTATATTGGCTATAGTTTGATTTAAAATCTTCTGAGCTCAAGGTAATTATTAATTACCACTAAGAAAAAAATGAGTATAAATATCACAAGTATATGAGTTTCATAGTCTGGAGTTTCTTAGTTGGCACATAGCCTGAGAGAACATTCTAATTTGGCAGCTGCAATGAAGACATAAGGTCTAACTAACATTAACCAATATTCAGATTTACTATCATTTATTGAGCACCTATAATGTGCCAACCAGGGTGCTGGAGACTACAAAAATGACTGAGGAAATCCTCGCCCATGAGGTGCAAGTCTAGGGAGCAATGCCTATGTAGATTTTGTGTAATACTCAAATTATGGTGTTTTTGTTTTTTTTTTGCAGATGAGGAACCTGAGACTCATAAAGTGGTAACTGGTTTAAGAACAGGAATCCAGGCCAATCTGATTCTAAAACCATGCTTTCTCTAATGTACCAATTCTCCTTTTAATTCTCAATGAGAACAAAAATGTATAAAATATCAATACTGAAAAGAATAACAGCTCCTTACAGCTAGGCTGTATCAAACATGTTAGTGGTATCTGATCCTCGTAACTCTTTGGGACGGGCTACGTGGGTGTTATACAATCTTATAAATAAGGAAACACTCAGTGTGGTTTAAGTGACTTACCCAAGGTTACATGGCTGTTAAGTGGCAGAGCCAGTGTCTTTCAAATCAATTCCTGAAATTAATACAGTCCCTTGGATCAATCTTCAAAATCCAGCTGTGACCAAGAACGAAAGTATATAGTATCAAACATTTCTCTTTCTTGGTGAAACAAAGTAATGAATTTTTTTGGCAGCAAAAAATTTCTCAATATTCCATGTAAAAAGAAATTCAGAGGAATGTTCATGCAATCTCATTACATAATGCAAATTTAAATAATTTATCTAACAAACAGACTTGAGGATTTTGCAGAAGTTAGGAAAAATTAGCTCTGGAAACTTCTCCCAATAATTGTATATTTTGTTTTACCTCAGAATTTACGTATTGGACTCAACACTATTGGTTTTACTGACATCATTTTCTAATGAGAATGGAACAATAAATTGCACACAGCTATTTTAATCTAAACTAAAAATACAATCTAACGAGTGATTCTGCAAATTTTGCAAGCATAGTAGGCAAAAGAGCAGCATAAAAATACACGACACAGTGGTGTGACCTATGTATCTTCCAATGCAGTCTCCTACTCTGGTCCTACATTTCTTTGCCACTGTTTCTTATACTGGCTAGACTAAATCTAAAAGATAAAAAATGCTTATTCTTTTCACCTAGAATGCAACTACCTTATCGATCACGGTTAAATAAAATAGTTCACTGTCAGGGCAGAAAAAACATCTTTAGGCCTCCCCTGAAGTTAATTTTCAACGAGTTAGTGAGGTAAAGGAATGAAGGGCCAGGCTTTCTTTTAATCAATAACGCAACCCATACACTGAGTGAGAGCGCAGTACTGGAGAAAGTGCAAACTCCAAAGAGGTGATAAATCCAGTAATCGCCTGAGAAGAGCGACGCAGACTGACAGCAAATTACAGCCCACTGCAGAAACTTAAAAAGACCGCCTTGGGGTTGGGAAAGTAGCCTCCACCTTATTAATCTCCCCGGCCTTCTAACAAACCATTCATTCCGGTGTCCCCAGGTCTTAAGAGGTGGGAACTTTCCCCAGTGGTCTCCGTGATCTCTGGAGATATTTATTCTATTGAAGAGGATGATAACAAATGCGAAGACCAGCACTGCGTTTCTCTACTAGCTTTTTCTACACCACGCACTGGCTAAAGGACTAAGATGATGGGGAATGAGGGGGCTTGGGACATAAATCAAAAGATGCTGTGAGAACATCGTGGCTGGCTCCATCCCCGCTGGCCTAAGCGATCTCACGTCTGCAGAAGGAAGCAACGCCTGCGGGCGGGCCTGCGGGCGCACGGGGCTGGTGACAGTACGCGTGGAGCAGCAGGTTCCCCCCACCCCCAGCTGCAGGGCAAGCCCGGGGTCTCCACAGGCCTTGCTGCACAGACGACAGAACTGGGACACGGAACTTGGGGCATGTGGCTAGCACCGGGCGGGGGTCGGCCAGCAGAGGAGGAAGCAAGCGCCGGCAGAGGCCTGAGGGGAGGATGCACATGGCTGGCGGCGGCGCTAACAGCCGGCAGAGGGGCGGCCCCGGGACGCGGTACCTGCGGTCAGGCGGTGGCTGCTGCTTCCGCGAGCCTCCTTTGGCCAGCCAGGACCCGGCCGTGCCCTCGCCCTTGTCCTTGCCCACCTCTCTCCCGGCTCTTTTCCCTCTTTTCCCCCGCTTTCCCCCTCCTCATCCGGAGCTCCAAAATGGCGGCGCTGGGGACGGATCACGTGAGCCGCGAGTGGGTCAGGTGACCCGAATGGCGGGCAGCAGGGGCGGGGCGAAGCTCAGGCCCCGCCCACGGGCATTCCGGGCCGGCCGGGCTGGACCTGCGCGAGGGAGGTTCTCCAGCGGGTTTAGCTTCTTGCAAACCCCGGCTCCCGGGCGGGGTTCGGGCCCAGTTGCCTGGCCCTCACGCCCCCTTTCAGACGTCTACGTTTAGAAGTCACCGTGTATTCACTTTGGCATCTCCCCACGTCACCTAAATCCGCTGTGGGCTAGCCTCATCACCCCACTCGCTCCGCAATTGGCTTTCAACAAAGGACATCGACTTTTTTTTTTTTTTTTCTTTAGCCTGGCTTCTGGGTTTGTATTAGTTCTTTTGGTAGAGCTGTACATTTTAAGGTGTTCTTGGCTAAAATGTAGCGATCCTAGCCAGGCTCACGGCTTTAAGTGGTGCCTGTTAAGGGCCAGAGCTGACTCTGGGAAATCTTGTTGCTTGAGAGATTCAGAATTTTCAGGTTTGTAGGATCAGACCCAGTAACACAACCTCAGCCCTCCAAGGGCACCACGGTGTTTGTCATTCGGATCTGTTTTATGAAAGATTCCAGGGTGGTTCGCCTGCTAACAGTGAAAAAGGGAATAGGTGAAGCATTACAGCCAATTTCACCAAAAATGCTGAATAGTTTTGCTATATTAGGAACTATGCAGCATGGTGCTCTGGTCTGGACTCAGCGGGTGGGCTGTGGACATGAGCAAGGGAATAAAGCTGAAGGTTCTGGTCATTGGAATGGAATGTGGTGAGACACCTCTACTCCAGATCTTTGAGAGGCCTTTACAGCTGGCTGGGCTGTCCACTGTCCTGGGAGGAAGATCCAACAAAATTTAGAATCAGACAGGCTTATAATTCCTGTTACTGTATATTAGGGTACACATTCATCTGAATTTGGCGGTTAGGAAACCAGCAAAGTTAGATTTTTTTTTTTTTTTTTTTTTTTGAG